GGTCATTGACCCCGGATTAAGGGTCACTGAGGGGATTAAGGGTTATTGAGGTGATTAAGGCTTAATCCGGATTAAGGGTCATTGACCTCGGATTAAGGGTCATTGAGGGGATTAAGGGTCATTGACCCCGGATTAAGGGTCATTGACCCCGGATTAGGGGTCACTGAGGAGATTTAAGTTTAATCCGGATTAAGGGTCATTGACCCCGGATTAAGGTCATTGAGGGGATTAAGGCTTAAGCGGGATTAAGGGTCACTGAGGGGATTAAGGGTTATTAACCCCGGATTAAAGGCCATTGACTCAGAATTAAGGGTCATTGAGGGGATTAAGGCTTCATCCGGATTCAACGTCATAGACCCCGGATTAAGGGTCATTGAGGGGATTAAGGGGCATTGCTTGTTAATAAATTAAATCGAGAATGCCTTATATAACCTTAATATATAAAGGAGCTTAGTGATAAGCGAGTGAGTGACTGTGAGATCATCGTCCAGACGAAACGGCTGAAACTAGAAGCATGAAATTTTGAGTACTTATGTGTATGATAAGTACTAAATTTGGTACTATTTACATTTATTTAATCGTACAGAGATGGAGACCTGAAAATATGAATTAGGATTATCTTGGAGTAGAGAACTAAAAGTGCAAAATTTGATACAAGTTGGATTTAGGTGTACAGACAGAACTGGAGTCTTGAAATTGGGAATTAAAATGACTGTTGAAGTGTAGGATTGATATATTTATTTATATATATATTTATATTTATATATTTAAATATATAAGAATTAAGAATCTGAGTTAAAATAGGTAAGTTTAACTGAATATATAATTATTTGTATCATTTCTTAATTGCTTTCTTTTACTCTTAGGATGGATCAACGAAAAGTAGGGAGTTTTGTCGCCGATGTTGTCGTCAACGACAACTTCGCTTACCTTGTCACCCAAGTTGTCTTGCATGAATACTGCGACACTTGTGTGAAAATTTCGTCAAAGATCTCACATTGTTGTCTGCAAGACACTTTCTACTCGGAATATAAACATTTTTTGGGCCAATATGAAATCATTCCAAACAAAAGACTTAAGGCACAAACTTCATATATGATTATCAGGCGTGTGTGCTTGAAACCCTTGCTTAGTTTTAGGATTACAATATTTGAATAAGCACATTCTCTAAATATTATTAAAATTGTGTAAAATCGTCAAAATATTAACACATTTTTCGTGAAAAAACATTTAAGTTTATATAGGCATTTATTGAAAACAAAACAAATAAATTATTTTTTAGTGTGGAGTTTTCTGAAAATATTTTTATACGCATGCATTTTAAATATATATATATATATAGTGGAGAGGGGGGCACCTTTGAACACTTTTTTCTTTCAAGTCTCATAAAATTTTTTTATGTTATAATTTTTTGTTTCTTTTAAGTTTTAACTAATAGGTACATATGTAACCTTTAAAATGAATATACATATGACATACTTTAAGCTTGATATACATATTTTATTACTGTTTTAATGGAAGAAGTCAAAGTGTTCAAAACTGCCACCCAGGGGGGCCCCTTTGAACAAAGCTTGGTATTTTTGAACGACATGGTTTTTTACAGTGTTTATGTTCAAATATATATGTATTGTATTCATATATATCAGAAATGCATTAATTTATTAAAAAATATATACAAAAATATTCAAAAATTAAAAATTTCTGATCAAAATTTATTAAAACATAAAATGACATAAAAACAAAAATCTATATGGTGAAAAATACAGCTAATTTCGTAATCTTATTAGATTTGAAATTTTTGAGAAATCGAAGCCAAAAGTTAAAAATTCCGTTTTTTACTGGAGTTTACTGGGTATGTTCAATGGTGCCCCACCTGTGGTATTTTACGTAAATTTATAATAACTTTTTTTGTAGTAAATTTATATGAAAGAAAATACATTAGTTATGTTTGAAATGATTGTTGGAAAGCAAAAAAGATTGTTTAACGAAAGAAAATGATCACCGAATTCTTCCTGCGCCCTTACAACCAAAAAATTAAAAGTTTACAATGGCACTGCGAGAACATGGTCACTCATGTAAATTTTGTCGGCAACTGAAAAAGCTAGATAAAATGGTTTACGCAGATAAAGAACAAGATAGGCACATACAAAATGTTGAATTTTGAACCGAGATTTTATGAGCGCTGTTCAAAGGTGCCCCCTCTCCCCTATATATATTTATACATGGTGAAATAAAAAAACTGCTACAAAGGCAAGCGCCATAATTTTTACACTTTTTTTAATTTTATTGAATGAAAGCAAAAATGTCGAAAATAACGTAAAATTTTAGAATAAGTTTATATTTCTTCGAGTTGAACACTTTTGGCGCAAATTATGGCCTTCAAACGGCCAATGAAACCATCACACGCTGCCCGATTGTTGCTCTGCGGTATTTTGGCCCATTTCCGGCGAAGCTCTTGCTTGAGGTGATCGACACTTTGGTATTTTTTTTAGTGCCAACCTTGCTTTCCAAAATACTCCAGACACAATAGTCCAACGGATTGGTATCAGCAGATGTTTGTGGCCATTGTGCGCTGGAAATGAACCGAGGAACCTCATTTTGTAATCATTTGTTGGGTGGCGCGTCCACCATCGCACTCAGGATGGTCCTGTTGGAATGTCCAAGGTCTGCGCCCAAAATGTTTGCGTGTCCAAGGCTTTAGTACACCCTCTAGAATATTTTCGCGATAATATTCAGCATTTATTCTGATGATATTTGATTAATACGAGTGAAGAGCTACCATCGGCTGTTATGGCGGCCCACACCATCACCATGGCCGGCGCTTGAGTTTTGGTGGCCAACCGAAGGATCACATTTTCAGCTGACCTCTTTGGCAAGTAAACACGATCATTTTGTTTGTTTACAAACGACTGGACAACGAATGTTTTCTCATCGAAGAAAACCAAATGCGGCAGTTCACAACCTTCGGCCATGCTCATTAGCTCTTGCCAGTCCATTTTCTTTCTGTTCCATCACGAATAACTTTTTTCGGGAAAATTGTTACCAAAATGCTTTTGTACGCTTGTAAGCAATATAATGGGCTGTCACTGGAAAAATTTGAACAGCTTTCGGACGAATGGCTTAGAAATGACAGAAGTCTGAAGTTAGTTGCAGTTTTTTCATGTCACCCACACATCTCATCTTTCCAAAATTAATGTCAGTAGTTGTCACATATTAAACTCTTTTATACCCTTCACTACACTGTGGTACAGGGTATTATGTATTTGTGCATATGTTCGTAACAGGCAAACGGAAACGAGATAGGCACATGGTTCCTTTTGAGAATATGCATGGAATCATATTCTAAGTCGATTTATGCATGTCCATCCATCCGTCTGACTGTCTGTCCATGTTAAATTGTAAACAAAGTACAGGTCGCATTTATGATTCGAATTGGATGAAATTTGGCAATCGGTTCAGATTTAGATATAGCTCCCATATATATTTTCATCCGATTTAATGTAAATGGTGCATCAAAGTCCGTAAATATCTTTCGATTAGCACGAAACTTCGCACAGCATACTAAATTAAGCCTAGAATGATGTGTGCCAAGTTTCGTGAAAATCGGTTCAGATTTAGATATAGCTCCTATATTTATTTTCGTCCGATTTAAGGTAAATGATGCAACAAAGTCCCTAAATATCATTCGATATGCACGAAATTTGGCATAGCGTACTACATTAAGCCTAGAATGATGTATGCATAGTTTCATGAAAATCGGTTCAGATTTAGATATATATTTTCATCCGATTTATGGTAAATGTTGCACCAAAGTCCCTAAATATCTTTCGATTTTCTCAAAATTTGACACAACGTACAAAATTCAACCCAGAATGATGCTTACCAAGTTGCGTGAAAATCGGTTCAGATTTAGATATAGGTCCCATACATATTTTTGTCCGATTTAAGGTAAATGGTGCACCAAAGACCCTATATATACTCAGATGTGCACGAAATTTGCACCAAAGGCCCTATATATTTTTCTATTTGCATAATATTTGGATTAGCGTACTGAATTGAGTCAAGAATGATGAGTGGTAAGTTTCGGGAAAATCGGTTCAGATTTCGGTATAGCTCCATATATACTCTCCTCCGATTTCATGTATATGGTGCAGCATAGTTCCTATATATCCTTCGATTTGCATGGAATTTGGCATAGCGTACTGAATTGAGTCAGGAATGATGAGTGGTAAGTTTTGGGAAAATCGATTCAGATTTCGATTGAGACTTGAATGGGATTATTGCGTGCAGATGTAGCTATCTTCCATATGTATTTCGCACGAGTGTCTGATTGAGATTAAATTTTTAACAGTGCGACGTACCGAATAGGGTGTATCAAGGCATGAGTATGTTTCTTCGATGGAACATTGACATGCAATTGTAAGGTTACATATGTACAATATACCCAAAGTGGTGAAGGGTATCATATAGTCGTCCCAGTCCGACTTTACTAATTTCCTTACTGGTTTTAATATCATCATTGTACAATACCTCACTGGATACTTCGGAGCATATATGAATGGCCTGGCGATCGTTTCAAAAACATAAATCAATTCACCTTGATATTCGATATAGGCCACCAAAGATGAACAATGGCTTTAATCTACTCTCCATTTGATTTATATGTGTGTGTGTGTTACAAACCATCGCTGATTACCACAAATATACCCTTGACCAGACAATGCTGTAGGGCACACAACTGCAGCGTGATTATGTTGCTGACACACCATTATTCTTCATTTTGACAGTTCACATTCACATAAACAATTAAAACAATGACATAAATTATCTAAAAATTTACTAACCATTGTATATGTTTGTATGTGTATTTGTATGGATGAGTATAACAATAAAAAAATATTAATAAAATATGCACTATGAATGTATTTAAAAACAATTAAACTATCTAACAAAAAAACATCCCCATACCAGGCATAAACTCCTCCCTCTCTCAGCAAGTTTTAACCTGCTAAACTTTTAAGTGCACCTGGAGCTAATTTACGATTTTTCGTTGGCATGCGATGTCTACCGCCAACACCAACAGCAGTGAGATCGGTATTTTTGCCATCCAATTTCGATTGAGGAGTGTCGGGTGTGCCGGCGACCAGGACATTTTCATCTCTCGTGGTGCCATCGTTTAAAACATAGCTGATGGAGGAGGAGAGAAGGAAAAAAATTAAATGTTCTCTTTTTATAAATTACAAAGACTGAACTTACTTGTAACGGTAACCCTGTACCGTGGGTACATATTCAAAATCTTGTATCACATCGTTGCGATATATGACTGGTCCTCTGATATAACGCCCATCTTGACCTTGACCTCTATTATAATAATATGCCGGCTGGCCATAACTCCAACAGGGCAACAAAATCAAAATAACAAACTGGAAAAAATAACTGAAAATATCACTTCAAACTCATTTCAGAGATGGGAATGTTTGACATTGAAACTCACAACATATGGGTACTGCATCGTTTTCTTCAGCTTGATCACCTTGTTTCAAAGTCCTATGGAATATTTTATTTTCGTCTAGGTTTTGTTTTTCAAATAAATCACTTGGAATAAAACTTTACAAACTTGCCTATCCAAATGCTTAGCACATTGTTCGGCTTGATTTAGATTTATTATTTGGGATTTGTCTTTTTATTTTTTGGAATACCGTCTGCTCTTTACGATGTTTATTTTAAAACTACAATAAAAACAACAATCACCACTGATGTTTGTATGTCCGCTCCTAGCCAATAATGTTCGACAATTAATGGATCTTCTTTTTTGGGAATAATACCAGCTGACTGCTGAGCTAGTAAGTTGCAATGCCATAGCATAACCAGCTCTGATGGCCAATCGTTAAGAGAGTTCTCACAACACGCTAACGTGTCGTTGTGCCGAGATAATCAAATGTGGGAGTTGCCATAGAGATTTTTTATTAAAACGAAATGGTCGGAAATTAATTTATAAAATCTGATCGAATTTTAAAAAATTAAAAAAAAAAATTTTTGGTCAAGGACGACACCAATAATTTTCGGTGATGTTGAGATGATATATAGGGGGTGCAATGAACCGCATCAGGCTAATCCCCGTACGAGTGCTCTCTTTGAGAGTAATTTATGTGAATAAGAGCGTAAAAGCCGCTCTTTAACAGAAGGGGTCACATATTTTATACGGTGAAGGGGATCTGACCAAATATTAAGTTGGGGAAAAAGAAATCCATTATTTTTTCGGTATCGATTAAGCAATTTCAGATTTATGTTCGTTGGAAGAGTGACATTTCGCAGAAAAAAATATTTTGCTGTTTTTTGTGAGTTACAGGATGTTAAAAATGGAAGTGAACAAAGAGAAAAAATCGGTACATTTTAAAGTTTTTCTTGACAAAGGAGAAAATGCAAGCCAATCGGCTAAAATTGTGAATGCAGTTTATGGTTCCGATACTGTAACGGTCAATTATGTGCAATTTTGGTTTCGTAGATTCCGCTCAGGAATTTTTGGTGTTAAAGATGTACCTCACTGGTACTTCAGTGTTGGTTGTTTAGGTTATCATATAGTCGGCCTCGTCCGACTATATTACTCAGTGTGGATTTTTAAAATACAACAATTTTAAAAGCGTGGATTGAATGAAACACCAGCAAGGAAAGTAGTAAAGTCGGACCTGGCCGACTATATGACACCCTTCACCACTTAGGGAATATTCTACATATGTATCCTAACAGACATCGCCTTTTCTAAGGAACATTGACATGAAATTGAACGAACTTAAATATGCGATCTTTATCTATAAGTAAACCGACTAACATAAACTCCAACACATGGCATTCTGCAGCCTATTCTAAATTTTGTAAATAGATTTAAAGCAAACTGTACACACTCTATTTGGTATGAATCACTGTTTAAAATGTATCAATCGACACCCATTGATTATTTGGTGTACAGTCAACATGAATAGGTCGAAAATATATATGGAAGCTAAATCTGAACCGATTTAAAGGAAACTTACTAGATATTAATTATACCCTACACAACTATGTTGTCAGGGTATTATAGCTTTGTGCAGCCCCAAAAGTTTGTAACGCCGCGAAATATTGGTCCTAGACCCACCTTTAAGTATACCGATCGTCATATCTCGACTAGCTGAGTCGATCTAGACATGTGTGTCCGTCCGTCTGTCCATTATAATTTGTAAACACTATACAGGCCACAGTTATGGACCAATCTTCACGAAATTTTGCATGTAGGATGGGTTCTGGCTAATGAAGACCCCTATTGTTTTTGGGAAAGATCGGTTAATATTTAGGGGATGAAATGGACCAAATACTAAATTTTTTGTCGGTTTTTCTGGTCGCTCCACAGGCCGCAATAATGGCCCGAACATCGTGAAATTTTGCATGGAGAAGGGGGTCGGGCCAAAGAATAAGCATGCATGTTTTGATAAAGATCGGTCAATATTTAGCGGGTCAAATGGACCCTGACTTTTGTGTGAAAAATTACAAAATTTTTATTCTATAGCATATATATTTACCACTGAAGGACATATACCCGGGAAGTTGATATTATATCCAAGAGGAGTGGTTGACCTTTAAATTAAGACCAATTATATTATTGTATGTGCTCGGATGTGAGAGTTACACCTAAATATTTGCAAGTATCTCCGTATTCGTATATTATTTAGTAACCCATTATCACTCTAGAGAGCGGAACTATATCGCTGATCGCTTTGAAATGTTCCATGAGGTTCCGGGTATGGTCAAGGACAACACCTCTAAATTTCGGTGATGATCAGATAATAATTTTGGAATGAAGTGGACCGAAAACTTAATTTTTTGTGTTATTTTCGAGTCGATCTATAGACCACAAATGAAAGCCGAACATCAAAACACAACCCACGGTGAAGGAAATCTTGACAATAGCTGTACTGAATACTCGTAATATGTCAGTGTGAGGAAGAGGTGCTCTTTACCTCTATCGGGCAAGAGGGTGCAAATATCACGAAATAATGCCCAGGCTCGGAATAAACATCCGCAGAAAATTTGAGTTCCGTGGTAGTTGTGTAGGGTATCGTATGGTCGGCCCCGTCCGACTATTTTTTATTAATTTCTGTACGTTTTGTCAATCGGCCTAGGTATGGGCCTTTAGTGCACCATTTACATAAAATCAAAATTGTGTGCCGATCGGCCAATCTTTGGGTCTTTAGTGCACAATTTGAATTAAATCGGTCGAAAATATATATTGAAGCTATATCTAAATCTGAACCGATTTTCACGGAACTCAGCACGTATCATTCTAGACCTAATTCAGTACCCTATGCCATATTTCGTGCAAATCGAGAGATATATAGGTACTTTGGAGCCCCATTTACCTTAAATCGGACGAAATTATTAATGAAAGCTATATCTAAATCTGAACCGGTTTTCACGAAACTTGGCACATATCATTCTGGACCTAATTAAGTACTCTGTGCTAAATTTCGTGCAAATCGAAAGATATATAGGGACTTTGGTGCACCATTTACCTTAAATCTGACGAAACTATATATGGGAGTTATATCTAAATCTGAACCGATTTTCTCGAAACTTGGCACACATCATTCTGGACCTAATTCAGTACTCTATGCCAAATTTCGTGCAAATCGAAAGATATATTGGGACTTTCGTGCACCATTTACCTTAAATCGGACGAAAATATATATGGGAGCTATATCTAAATCTGAACCGATATTTCCCATTTTCTATAGGGTTCGTCCAAATCGGATCATAAATGCGACCTGTACTTTGTTAAGAAAAAAACATGGTCGGACGGACATGCATAAATCGACTTAAAAAGTGATTCTATGCATATTCTCAAAAGGAACCATGGGTCTATATCGATTATTTTTGCCTGTTACAAACACGGTGAAGTGAGAGTAAATTTAAAAACGCATTGTCTGCAATTTTTTTTTAGTTATGTCTTGCAGCAAAAGAGCGATATGTAAAATATACCCAAAGTGGTGAAGGGTATCATATAGACGACCCAGTCCGACTTCACTGCTTATCTTACTGGTTTTATATTACGAATTAGCTGTAATTTAATACTCCGGGACCTTGGTGGCTACCCAACATCTTCGCAAATTGTTTTCAATATAAGTCCATGTTTCTACATAGTCCCCGTATTTTAATATTTATATTGTTATATTATTATTTATATAATTAATAATTTTTATTTATTTTATTTGCGTGTTTTTTTATTACCCTGCATTTAAAAATATATATAAAAATGTTTTTAATGCTGACTTTGTAATAAAAAAATTATAAGCCTAGTTTTTTCTAATATAGATGTTTAAAGACAAAAATTATTCTCATTATATTTGGTAGAAACTTGCAAATTCATGTGGCAACAACACACTATCGCTTTTGGTCAACAACAGTAGTTGTTGACGAAATACTACATCTGCCACTTTTGTTTTTAATACAAAACAAAAAACAAATATTTTATGCAAAGTTAACAATAAATGAATGGCTATTTCTGACATTAATTTCAAAGACCTTTTGAATTATGTGTGTCTCTCTGTGAGATAACTCAAATCTCATTAAGAAACTCAATACGTCGAAGCCAATGGTTGTTACGTTTTAATGAGTCTATTCGAAACGACTTTTATTTTAATTGTTATGTTTCGTGTCATCGGATTGAAACAAAAATGATTTAAAATCAAATAAAATTAATTGACTTTCGTTATTTCCGTTATCAATAAAATAAAACCAAAAAAAAAATATCCAAACATTTGTTCACTCTTGTTCACTCTTTTTGTTTGGCTGTTAGTACACTGAGAAAAAAATGGGTGTTACATAACAGAAAGAAATCGAAATTGTCTTTACAAAAGTGGGTCTTTGAAAAATGTTAATTAAAAAATCCACGCCTTTTTTTGGGTCCTTGAATTTTTTTAAACTCCACGCCATTTTGGCTCCTTGAAAAAATATTCTTTAAAAAATTCACGCCTTTTCGGGTCCTTGAAAAAATGTCCCTTAAAAAATCCACACCTGTTTGGTAGATTAAAAACATATTAAATTAAATATATTAAAAACCGATTCATCGAAACTTGTCACATGTATTGAGTTCTTGATGCATCATTTACTTAACATCGAGAGAAAATATATATGGTAGCTCTATCCAAATTTGAACTTATTTCAACAACAACTTCCACATGCTAGGTTATATTAACTTCAGTACGTTGTGCAAAATTTTGTGTCAATCGACCTAATGTTGGTCTTCGGTGTAGAATTTATATATAATTTCTAGGTTATACTAACTTCAAAACGTTGTGTCAATGTTGTGTAAAATCGGACGAAAATAAATATGGGAGCTATAGCTAAATCTTTACCGATGTTCAGGAAACTAAACACACATCATTTAAGACCTAATTCAGTACACTATGCCAAATTTCGTGTAAATCGAAAGTTATATAGAGACTTTGGTGTACCATTTATATTAAATCGGACGAAAATATATATGGGAGCTATATCTAAATTTGAACCGATTTCCACGAAACTTAACACACATCATTCTAGACCTAACTCAGAACGCTGTGCCAAATTTCGTGCAAATCGAAAGATATATAGGAACTTTGGTACACCATTTACCCTAAATCGGACGAAAAAATATATGGGAGCTATACCTAAATCTGGACCGATTTTCAGGAAACTCAAAACACATCATTCTAGACCTAATTCAGTACGCTGTGCCAAATTTCGTGCAAATCGAAGGATATATAGGGACCGTTTACATTAAATCGGACGAAAATATATAGGGGAGCTATATCTAAATCTGGTCCGATTTTTCCCAATTTCAATAGGGTTCGTCCTTGGGTCAAATAAATGACCTGTGCCAAATTACATCCAATTCGGATCATAAATGCGACATGGACAGACAGACGGAAAGTGATTCTATGCATATTCTCAAAAGGAACCATGTGTCTATCTAGTTTCATTTTGCCTGTTACAAACATACACACAAAGACATAATACCCTGTACCACAGTGTGGTGAAGGGTATAAATATTTTTGCACACTTGTATCTAAAATTTGTTTAATCCACTCTTCTTTAGAGGGTCAAATGGACCCTGACTTCTGTGTGAAAAATTACAAAATTTATGTTCTATAGCGTATAAATTTACTCCTGAAGGACATAGACCCGAGAAGTTGGTAGTATATCCAAGAGGGGTGGTTGACCTTTAAATTGATACCAATTATATTGTCGTATGTACTTGGATGTCATCCATTACCACACTAGAGGGCGGAAATAAAGCGCTAATCGCTTTAAAATTTTCCATGAGGGTAGGTATGATCCAGAACAACGACTATAATTTTCAGCGATGATCAGATAATTATATTGGGACCGAAAACTTAATTTTCTGTGTGTTTTTTTTTTTTTTTTTTTTTTTCGATCTATAGGCCACAGTTGAAAGCCGAACATCACCACACAACCCATGGTGAAGGGAATCTGGACAAGTAATTATAAAGACTGTATTGAATATTAGTAATGTTCGAAAAATATGTCAGTGTAAGGAAGAGGTGCTGTTGACCTCTAATTGTCCAAGCTCGGAATAAAAATCCGCAGAAAGATAGAATTTCGTGGTAGTTGTGTAGAGTATCGAATGGTCGGTCCCATCCGACTATACTGCTCCGCTCACTGGTTATAAAATCAATTGAGTTAATTGAAAGAAATATTTTTTAATACTATTTAAAAAAAAATACTCTTGTTAAAGTTCTTAAAACATAATCCACACCAGTCCAGATTCTAAATCATTTTTGAATTCAGGTATATATTCGCCAAAATGTTTACTGGGATATGTTTAGCACGTTAACAGTTTAAAGTTCATTTAAAGAGAGCTTTGTTTTAATTTTATATATTTTTTATAATCCTATTATAATAGCGGTAAGCTTTTCAAAATAACATCATAAGTATAAGCTTTTTAGTTAAATAAAAATATTAAGATGTCTCATTAATTTCAATACAAAAAGGCGATTAACGTCAACCAGTCTGTTATGCTATGATATATTATCAGCTATTATATTTTCATTACATAAGTAAATAAATAAAAAAATTACAAATAATAGAAATACACATTTTTAGAAATAATTTTGATATTTTTATGATTAAAATAATTTAAAATAAAATAACAAAAAAATTTCAATTTATTCTAATTAAAAATTTCCCTTTTTTTGTGTTTTGTTAAAGTCCCCATATATTCCAGTTCCCTTGAAATTCCCATAGTTTTTTGGGATAAACCCACTGTCTATTTAGAAAACAATCAACAGGTGTTTATTGTTATTTCCGAAAATATGAAATCTTTATATTTTTTAAAATTCTAATGAATAAGATCATAAAATTCATAAAGAACACAAAACCAGATTTCTCTTCTAATTTATGCAAATCGCTGCTGTCTATTTAAGTGATCTGAGTCATTCTGACGCTGTTGGTTATCAAGTTTCTAGAAAGTGATACACTGGAAAAGACAATAACAAATTTTTGTCATTGTATTACAAAAGAAAGGTTTGCAATTTTTTTTATCTGTAAACAAAACATAAATTAGGTCTTAATAATAAAATTTAATTTACGAAAAAAGAGGGCAGAATAACTATTTGTTTGACCTAGAGACGTGGAGTTTTTAAAACATTATGTTTGCACACGGCTACTATATTTACGAAATCCACACTGAAACCTCAACCTTAAAAAAATGTTTAACCAGTAAGGAAAATAGAAAAGTCGGGCGGGGCCGACTATATGATACCCTTCACCATTTTGGGTATATTCAACAGATGGAATCCTAACAGACGTCGTATTTTTGAAGGACCAATAACATGATCTTAAACATGTTAACATATACTAAATTTTGTTCAGATATAGAGTTGCTTCTTACAATGGAACAAAACTATGTAAATACATTTAAAGCAATAATATCTTGGTGAACCATACATAAAACCGAAAATATATATCGAAACTTGTCACATGCTAGAAATTACACTTATTTTAGTATGTGCCAAATTTGTGATATATAGGGACTTTGGTGCACCATTTTGCGAAAATATGTTCTATATCATAAACCGATTATTAATAACACACATCCAAATATCTGAGCCAAATTTTCAAATCGAAGGATATGTAGGGACTTTGGTGCACAATTTACATAAAATCGGCGAAAATATATAAGGAAGCTATATCAAAATCTGAACCGATTTTCACGAAATTTAACACACATCGTTCTAGACTTAATTCAGTACTCTGTGCCAAATTTCGTGCAAATCGAACGATATATAGGAACTTTGGTACAACATTTACCTTAAATCGGACGAAAATATATATGGGAGCTATATCTAAATCTGAATCGATTTTCACGAAATTCAACACACATCTTTCTAGACATAATTCAGTACGCTGTGCCAAACGAACGATATATAGAGACTTCGGTGCATTATTTACCCAAAATCGGACGAAATGTATGGGAGCTATATATAAATCTGAATCGATTTTTCCCAATTTCAATAGGGCTCGTCCTTGGGCCAAATAAATGAGCTGTGCCAAATTTCATCCAAATCGAAACAAAAATGCGACCTGTACTGTCTTTACAATTTAACATGGACCGACAGACGGGCGGACGGTCAGACAGACAGACGGACGGTCGGACAGACAGACGGTCATGCATAAACCGATTTAAAAAGTGATTTTATGCATATTCTCAAAAGGGACCATGTGTCTATCTCGTTCCCTTTTGCCTGTTACAAACATATGCACAAAGACATAATACCCTGTACCGCAGTGTGGTGGAAGGTATAAATTATAACTCTTTTAGCTCTTAGTATTTTCAAAAAGAAATCCACGCTTATAGCTGGATGTCCTAAACTTACTTTAAAAAAAATCCACGACTATAGGTGAGCCATAGAAAATAATTGCTAGAAATCCAAAGTTACAGGTGGACTTTAAACAAATATGTTTTTAAATATTCACGCTGCTGGTGGGCCTTGAAAAATAAATTATATATATTTATTTATTTTTTTTTTTTTTTTTTTGAAAAATCTCGTTTACAAATCCACGCTTATAATAATTTAAATAAAAATTATTATTGTATGACTTGTTTTTGCAAAATAGTCAGGCTGAATCCCAGTTTGTTGTTTTTATAAAAAACAACTATTTATTAGTGGGAAATGTTACAGCAGGACGTCAATATCCTCATCGTTTATAAATCCTATTGCTTCTATACAAAAAAATAATTTTTAAAAAAATATTATGACCAACGACATTTGAGAATGCCACACAGGTTAACAAGGCATTTTACCTTTCCCACTGTATTGTATGACATCAATTGTTCTAACTGCTACAAAACTTGAAACATAAATTTGAGTTTTGCACAACAAGAAATAACCAAAATATGACGTGATCATCATAAAATGTTATTGAATATTCTACAAGTAGCGGATTTTATAACGGCACAATAACTTGAAAATATAACTGTTACCGAATTGGAGAATAGCATTTAATTGTTCTTCAATACGCTTTCTATTTTTTTCGTGGGTTCTTTCACTTTATACCAGTTTATTATGATTATCACATTTTAAAGCATTTGTTTTGTTCAAATAACACTACACACATATATATATATATATATATATATATGTAAACAAATAAAAAATAATAAAATAAATTAAATATAAATATATATATATATATATATATATATATTTTTGTTAACACAATTCTTAAGGACTATCTTTTATTTTATGGGCCGTCACATAGGGTTGGAATCCGTTCTTGTTGGCCTTGTATTTAACGGTGTATTCATAACCATCGGCCGAGATGAAACTATAACCGCCACGAAATTCTACCGGATCTTCAGTGTTTTTATCCTTGGTATCTTCAATGGCATTTGAGGTTTTGTTGAATTTAATGTCTTCGACACGTTGATAGCCATTGTTGGTTTTGAATCTAAGAAGAATAGGTAATTATTTGAATATTAAGAATATATTTTAGGAAGTCCGAATACTTACCCAAAATGAAATTGACTTTCACCATTTTCATTGGTGGTCACCGCACCATTGCTAACTTGAAACAGGCAACATGTAATGGCCAAGGTAACACAAACTGACAACTGTAATTTATTTATTTTGTAAGTTTCGTAATTATTAAATTAATTATCACTAAATTGAAGTTTTTTTTTCTCAAACTCACTGTTAATGATTTCATTTGTTATGGGAATATTTTGTTTGTTTGTTATGGAATAGCTGCGCTAGAAGTATTCTTGTATTCTGTTCTGTAGCGTGTGCAAAAAACAACTGATTTTAGCAGCAAGAATTTTAAACCGGCCTAGCCGTCCAAAATTAATAACGTCAACGGTGATGATGATGATCATCATCTGCTAATGATTCCCTCAATAATGAAGTTCTTTTTATTTATTTATTTGTTTTTTTTTTTTATTATTGGGTGGAAGCTGTTGTTCTTCTTTTGATATTTTGTTGTATATGTTTTTTATGTTTTCTTAAAGAGTAGATAATGACAATTATTAGACACTATGAAATGCCCTACATTATAAACAATTAAATTTAAATTATGCTTGGTGTGAAAGGTTTTACAATGAATGGAAAAAGGCAAGTAAAAATTCTAGGGGTTTTGGAAAAAAAAATATTTAAAAAATTCACGCCTTTTGTAGGCCACGGGAAATAGATATTTGAAAACTTCACGCCATTTGTAGGCCATGAAAAAAAATATTTAAAAAATCCTCTCTTTTTGTAGATTCTGAAACGAAAAAGATTTTACCCCGTAAGGAAAGTTCCCTTCACCACTTTGGGTACATACAAGAGATGTTAATATCTAAAATATCCTGTAGATAGAACAGACAGACTATTGAGATGGAATCGGGCGAAATTAAATGTGATATCTAGATAGATATTTGAACAAATTTTAAAGAAGCTCCATACACATACCATTCTGAAATCAATGAAAAATTTCTTGTCAAACGGGCAGACTTGGATTCTTTGGTGTACCATTTGTATAAAATCGAGTAAAATTTTGTATGAGATATATATATATGAGAGCTATATAACTGAGTTTTTTGTTATCACTCTAAATTTAATACCTTCTGCCAAATTTCGTGTAAATCGAACAAACATAGGCCCTTCGGTGCAACATTTACATAAAATCGAACGAAAATATATATAAGACCTATATCAAAATCTGAACCGATTTCAACAAACCTTATCACACATCATCTTTTCCTCAATTGCATTTGCTATGCAAAATTTTGCTCAATCAGAAAAATATTGACAAAAAATCGGACGAAACTATATATGGGAGCTATATCTAAATCTGAACCGATTTTAACAAAACTTCGCAGATATCATATATGGGAACTATATCTAAATCTGAACCGATTTTAATAAAACTTCGCAGACATCAGTCTGAATCTAATTCAGTATTCTGTGCAGAATTTTGTCCCAATCGGACAAATATTGGGTGTTTGGTGTATCATTCACAAAAAATCGGACGAAACTATATATGGGAGCTATATCTAAATCTGAACCGATTCCAACAAAATTTCGCATACATACGTATTGGCCTGATTCAGTGCGCTGTACAAAATTTTGTCCCAATCGACAAATATTGGGATTTTGGTGCATCATTTACATAAAATCGGACGAAACTATATATCCAATTTCAATAGGGTTCGTCCTTAGGCCAAATAAGTGAAATGTGCTAAATTCCATCCAAATCGGATCACAAATGCGACCTATACTTTGTTAACAAAAATACATCGACGGACGGACATGCGTAAGTCGACTCTGAAAGTGGTTCTATGCACATTTTCAAAAGGAACCATGGGTCTATCTCGATTGATTTTGCCTGTTACAAACATATGCATATGGTACATAATACCCTGTACCACAGTGTGGTAAAGGGTATAAAAATCCACGCCTGTGTAGTCCATGAAAAAAATTATTAAATAATCCACGCCTATGTAGTCCATGAAAAAAATTATTAAATAATCCACACCTATGTAGTCCGTGGAAAAAATTATTAAATAATCTACGCCTATGTAGTCCATGAAAAAAAATTATTAAATAATCCACGCCTATGTAGTCCATGAAAAAAATTATTAAATAATCCACGCCTATGTAGTCCATGAAAAAAATTATTAAATAATCCACGCCTATGTAGTCCATGAAAAAAATTATTAAATAATCCACGCCTATGTAGTCCATGAAAAAAATTATTAAATAATCCACGCCTATGTAGTCGATGAAAAAATTATTAAATAATCCACGCCTATGGAAAAAAATTATTAAATAATCCACGCCTATGTAGTCCATGAAAAAAATTATTAAATAATCCACGCCTATGTAGTATGAAAAAAATTATTAAATAATCCACGCCTATGTAGTCCATGAAAAAAATTATTAAATAATCCACGCCTATGTAGTCCATGGAAAAAAATATTAAATAATCCACGCCTATGTAGTCCATGGAAAAAATTATTAAATAATCCACGCCTATGTAGTCCATGAAAAAAATTATTAAATAATCCACGCCTATGTAGTCCATGAAAAAAATTATTAAATAATCCACGCCTATGTAGTCCATGAAAAAAATTATTAAATAATCCACGCCTATGTAGTCCATGAAAAAAATTATTAAAAATAATCCACGCCTATGTAGTCCATGAAAAAAATTATTAAATAATCCACGCCTATGTAGTCCATGAAAAAAATTATTAAATAATCCACGCCTATGTAGTCCATGAAAAAAATTATTAAATAATCCACGCCTATGTAGTCCATGAAAAAAATTATTAAATAATCCACGCCTATGTAGTCCATGAAAAAAATTATTAAATAATCCACGCCTCTGTAGTCCATGAAAAAAATTATTAAATAATCCACGCCTATGTAGTCCATGAAAAAAATTATTAAATAATCCACGCCTATGTAGTCCATGAAAAAAATTATTAAATAATCCACGCCTATGTAGTCCATGAAAAAAATTATTAAATAATCCACGCCTATGTAGTCCATGAAAAAAATTATTAAATAATCCACGCCTATGTAGTCCATGAAAAAAATTATTAAATAATCCTATTGTAGGCCCTGGAAACATTATTTAAAAATTCCTGAGGATGCATTGGAAGGTACAATACATTTTTCCGGACAATTGTCCACATAGGACCATGATTTAATATAGCCCCCGTAAATATCCTGCTAATTATCGGATTTTTCCACGGAATTTTCGAAATATATTACGGTGTGAGATTTGAAAGAATTTTCAATATCCACTTCATGGTGAAGGGTGTAAAAAGTCCAACCAAACTTAATGACATTTTTGCTTTTTTAAATATATTTTGTAGCGCGTCTTAGGCAATTCGTGTAGTTTAAACTAAGTTTTGAAACTCGAAACCAAGAAAAAAAATATCCACTTGCGTGACTCAAATTTATGACGTCAGACATAATTATGGCACTTCAGACACATAATTATTATTAAAAAAATAATTCATTCGATGACTAATGAAAAGAAAAATATATATCGTTGAGAAATTTGATTAAAATAATAATATTTTGAACTGGAACAACTTGTAATACATAACCATTTTTTTCATCTGTGTATATATATTTACTAGGTATTTCAAAAGAGTATTAATTTCAAATACGTTTTTAATTTACGAATTTGTTATTGGTAATTGCGCATCATCAAACATTGTATCGAAAACCTAATTTTAAACATTTTTTTAAATACGTATTTATTATATAATTCCTTTCAATTATTAAATAATAAACCTGTTTTGAGAAAAATATTTCTTCTAAATAAATAATATTTTTCAGGGTCAATAAAAAGTGTGGATATATTAAAGAATATGTTTTCAGGTCTATCGAAGGCATGGATCTATTAAATAATATTTTTTCAAGGTCCATAACAGGCGTGATTTTTTTAAATAATAATTTTTCAAGGTCCCTCAAAGGCCCACGCCTTTTATCAAAGAATATTTTTTTCAAGATCCGTCTATTTGGTAAAGGATTTGTTTACGGTTCATCAAATGTGTTTATTTGATAAAGGTTTTTTTCAGTGTCCATCAAAGGCGTGGATTTTTAAAGGATTTTTCAGGGTCAGGAAATTAGTTTTGGCCCATAACTGAAGTGGATTTATTGAATAATTGTTTTGTTATTTTTTATTTCATCATTTATTGTATAATTTCTCTATAATATAAAATGATTGATAACATAATTTGAGAAAAAAGAAGAAAGTAAGTGCTCCAGAAAGCCGGGTTCATATTATTAGCTTGTCAATCACATCCTTAAAAGCCTATTGAGTCCAATATCACATTTCATTTAATAAACATAACCTCCATTACCGCCTCCACCACCTCCATTACCACCACCACCTCCTCCTCCACCACCACTACCATCATCCGGATGTCCACCTCCAGCGGCAATTTTATCCAAAGCCTCTTGGATTTCCGGAGGTATTGGAGGTGGTGTTGGCAAATGGTCACCCTGTGGTTGGAAACCATTCTCATCGGCAATATAGGTCACCACAAAGGATTCCCCTTCGGGGCTGGTAAATGAAAAGGAACCCTCCGCCACCTGGGCTTCATTGTCGCTATCACCGGCATTTTTCAAATAACCCATTTCGTCAACATTAATGCCATTGCCGGTTTCATATTCGTACTGGAGAAAAAGAAGAAAATGTATTAAAAGAAGAAAATTATATTAAGACTGTACTTACCATATACGATCCATCGGTATTAACCTGAGATTCGAATTTGATTATTGGTATAACAGGACCTCCTCCACCGCCTCCTCCGCCACCACCAGCTCCACCACCTCCTCCGCCGCCAGGTCCACCGCCGCCACCACCGGCAGGAGGTAAATAAGTATTACCACCCCCACCTCCTCCGCCGCCGCCGCCGCCGCCATTACCCCCACCAGGAGGTAAATATGTGGAAGGTGGAGGTTTACCACCACCTCCTCCGCCACCGCCATTACGGTTTGGTGGCAAATACGATGAACTTGGTCCTTTACCACCTCCTCCACCCCCACCCGGCTTGGGTAGTTGTTTAGCCGGTGGCTTCATTTTTGGATAGCCCGCTGGTACAGCATTGCTCCATGCCACGCCAATGACAATAAGGAAAATCTGAAAGAAAAATTCACAATTATATTTTGAAAATTCTTACGGAAATCCGCAACTTCGGCTTACCAACTTCATATGGAAACTTGGACACTTCAAACAAAACTAGATGCCCCTGCAGCCAGTCGTAGGCTCTTTATAAACCAAAAATAATAAATTTTCTAGATCGACTGCCAAAAACATTGGCAATTAGATCACGATAGCATCCCGTGAACTCACGTATTTTTGAGTTCAAAATCAATTTTGTTTATTTTGTTTCAAGCACTGTCCAATTGCAGATGCCAATGTTACAAATTTATTGAGGAGGAAAACAGTGGTTTGAAAGGATTTCTGGGTGGGACATACACATTTTTTTCCCGGACAAAAACCAATGTGGATTAAAAAAAAACATTCAAGGCCCAAAAGAAGAGAGGATTTTTAAAGAATATTTTTTAAGGCCTAAAAAAAAAGAGTGTGGTTTTCAAATATTGAAAGAACATTTTAAAAAACAAAATTTTTTTAGAAATATTTTTTTCAAGTCCCAAAAGAAGCCTTGATTTTTAACGAATATTTTTGAAATGAAATGTGAATTTTAAAAAGAATATTTTTTAAGATGCAAAAGAACCGTGTATCTGTTATAGAATATATTTTGTACAAAGAAATTTTTTAAAGACTATTTATTTTTAATTTCTCAAACCACAGTTCTGTTAAAAAAATCTCCAATACATTTTACATCCAAAACGATCTACGCATCCACATCGCACAAATCTAAATCATCTCACCAAGCAGACACACATAAATTAACGCAATAACCACTAGTGTCGAACATGAAGAACAACAACAACAATACGACCCATCAAAAAACATCATGTAAGAAACCTTCATTCATGTTCGACCCCTTTGGAGTTCTTATGCTGTGCGTATTACGTACACGACTATTTTTTTATTACGCACAAGTGAATCCAACGTACAAGAAGCTTTATCCAATCGCCTGAGAATTCGTCAGCTGTTCGACTGGCAAGCAGAACGCAAGTACGAAAATTGTATTCCGTGCTCGTAAGACAAGTTTCTAATGTTGGTATTAGTGCAGGCTCGATGAATTTACATGCATCTCGGCCAGTCGTACACTTGCTGCTAATACCAAATCACCAAACTGCCTACTCCTCCCCCCTCGGCTTTATAACGTTCCTAAATGTGTAGCGAGTACAAAAGCCATGTCAGGTTACTTTTTGGCTAATATTAAAAAAAGAAGAATCCTTCACGGTTAAATAGAAAAACCAAACATACAAACACACACACAGGCAATTTATTGCAATGGCACAGTGGGGTAAATTTGAGAAAATAGACTTTTTTATAAACTATACACTCTTGTTTCAGACCCTGAAAAAATAATCTTTAATATATCCACGACCTTGATGGGCCCTGAAAACAATTATTTAATAAAACCACGCCTTTGATGGACCCTGAAAAAACATTCTTTTATAAAACCACGCCTTTGATGGGGCCTGAAAAAACATTATTTTATAAAACCACGCCTTTGATGGGCCCTGAAAAATATTCCTTAATAAATCCTCGCCTTTGATAAATCCTGAAAAAATATTCCTTAATAAAACCACCCCTTTGATGGGGCCCTGAAAAAAGTATTCCTTACTAAATCCTCGCCTTTGATGGACCCTGAAGAAGTATTATTTAATAAAAACACGCCCTTGATGGGCCCTAAAATATATAAATCCAAGCCTTGAATGGTACCCGAAAAATCATTATTTTATAAATCCACGCCTGTTACGGACCCTGAGAAAATATTCTGTAATAAATCCTGTCCTATATGGACCCTGAGACAAATTCCTTTAATAAAACCACTTTCGTTTGGGTTCTTGAATAAATATTTTTTCACAAAACCACTTTTGTTTGTATATATTCTTAAAAAAATATTTTCTGAAAAATCCACATTTTTTTGTACGACCTTGAAAAAATTTCCCCCACTGTGTAATAATACTCATTTGACATTAGCAGGGCCATGCCGCAGCACTTGCTGGCTGTTTGAGGCAAAAAGTTAATAGCCGAACGTAGTTTGGCACCCTTGTAAAAATTACGCACAGCAACAACAACAACGACACTAACCTCTCTTCCAAGGATAGAATTAGAATGACATCTTTTGTACATTAACACACCATAACGAAGCGTTTGCGTATCGTAGCTTGTAGTTTGTAGCTGGCCCTACCCGGTCGATGATGATGTTGATGATGAAGAGATGGTTGATGTGGCTGATGCGGATGATGTTTTTCCTTGAATGGTGGTGAATTTAGTGGTTATGGTTTGTATCGAGGGGAGGGTTGTTTTCATCGGGCAAGGCCAGTTCATTACATAACAACCTGGAATCCGATGCAGGTGTGGCAGATTTGTGTTGTTGCTGCCGTTTTTCTATTCTTCACTGAATATCTGTTCTCTCCTCGATTGGCATGGTTTTAATTCATTAAATTATTTTGGGGGTTGTTAGAGGTTTGCTGGACCCTTTGCATTGCCATCCTTCCATCATTATGAAATTTCAAATGAACTTGTAGATCGACAGGTTTTTTGTTATTTTAACTGATTTAACCATGGAACAAAAACATTAAAATATCTCTGCCAATCATGGTGATGTAGAAAAGGCTTATCAACAGGGAACATCAGAGGTAGCAGAAGTTTGAGTTAAAAGTAGACAACAATAAAACTAAGCAAAGGGTGTTTTGTTGCCCTTCGCTCACTATCATTAATATTGCTTTGTTGTCCGACGTCATATCATTTGTTGGAATTTATGTAGCGTTAATTGATAAATTAATTAATCTACTTTGCTTTTCAATAGGATTTTCTTTTCTTTCTATTGTTCATTGAATGCAATTCAGCGTTAAAATTGCAAGCCGATAAAAATGGCATTTCATTTAAACTGATAAGAATATTGGCAAATAATATCACTTCATGGGGTGCACCACATACATAATGTATTCCTATATTCGGCGTGGATTTTTATTTCCTACACAACTATGTTGTCAGGGTATTATAGCTATAGACTCACCTTTACGTATACCGATCGTCATAACTCGACTAGTTGAGTCGATCAAGATATGTGTACACAGTTATACACCAATTTTCACGAAATTTTGCATGTAGGATGGATTCTGGCCAATGAAGACCCCTATTGTTTTTGGTAAAGATCGCTTAATATTTAGGGAATAAAATGGACCAAAAACATTAATGGCCGCAATTATTGCCCAAACATCGCGAATTTTTACAAGGAGAAGGGGATCGGGCCAAAGAAAAAGCATGTTTTAATAATGATCGGTCAATATTTAGCGGGTCAAATGACCCTTACTTTTGTGTGAAAAATGACAAAATTTGTATTCTATGGCATATATATTTAGGCCTGAAGGTCTATGTCCTTCAGAGAAGGTTGATTATATATCCAAGAGGAGTGGTTGACCTTCAAATTGAAACCAATTATATTGTCGTATGTACTCGGATGTGGGAGTTACACTTAAAAATTTACAGGTGCTTACGTATTCATATATTATTTAGTAATCCATTACCACACTATAGGGCGGAAATATACCAATGATCGCTTTGAAATTTTCCATGAGGATCCATGTATGGTCAAGGACAACGCCTATAATTTTCAATGACGATCAGATAGTAATGACGATCAGATATAATATGATGAAGTGGACCGTAAACTTAATTTTATGTGTTTTTTTTTCGAGTCGATCTATGGGCCACAATTGAAAGCCGAACATCGCAACACAACCCACGTTGAAGGGAATCTGGACAAGTAATTAGAAACGCTGTACTGAATATTAGTAATATTTGTTGGCCTCTAGGGGGTCAAGAGGGTGTAAATATCGCGAAATATTACCATAACTCAGAATGTAATGCCGCAGAAAGTTAGATTTGTGTAGGGTATCTTATGGTCGGCCCCGTCCGACTATATTGCTATTTAGGGGATGAAATGACCAAATACTTAATTTGTGTCGGTTTTTCTGGTGGCTCCCGAGGCCGCAATTATGGCCCAAACATCTCAAATTTTTACATGGAGAAGGGGATCGCGCCAAAGAATAAGCATGTCCGTATTAATAAAGATCGGTCAATATTTAGCGGATCAAATGGACCCTGACTTTTGTGTGAAAAATGGCAAAATTTGTATTCTAAAGCGTATATATTTACTCCTGAAGGACATAGAGCCGAGAAGTTGATAGAGATGAAGTGGACCGAAAACTTATTGACTTTTGTTTTTATGCCTTTTTAGGGCGAAGAAAAAAACGTATTTTTTGTGTTTTTTTCGGTTCGATCTATAGGCTACAATTATAGGCCGAACATCACAACACAACCCCCAGTGAAGGGAATATGGAAAATAATTAGAAGGGCTGTACTGAATATTGGTAATATTCGGAAAATATGTCAGTGTAAGGAAGAGGTGCTGTTGACCTCTAATCGGGAAAGGGGGTGCAACTATCACGAAATATTACCCAGACTCGGAATAAAAAATCGCAAAAAGATAGAGTTCTGTGGTAGTTGTGTAGGGTATCGTATGGTCCGATACTGCCCCGTCCGACTATACTACTCCGCTCACTGGTTTTCTTCACATTTTGATTTCTTCAAATATATTTTTCCTTGTATATTATTTTTTCAAAATTTTTTTCTTGGATTTGGAATATTTAAATCAGTTCTAACATCTGGAATTATATTGTTCAAAATAGTGTTCCACATCACTTTCTTTCAATAGCCCCTATTTTAGATATCATAAAGATAGGGTTACACTGTTGATTTTGCAACCTTAATGCGGCAGTATTAAAATAATTTTCTTCATTTCAGCAAATTCAAACAAACGTTTTTTTTGCTTGCTGACTCGTATCAATCTATCGCTCATCTAATGCAGTGTGAATGAAAACAACTGACGCCGCAACTAATGTTTCAATAAAACACACACACACAATACAACAACAAAAAAGAATAATCGCATAAACTATAAATTCAATATGCATACAAGTTTAACAACCGCACGAAGAGAGGGGGGACCAACAACCACCACCAACCTTTAGAAACATTAGCATCAGTATTGTCATCACCACCACCACTGCTATCACTGTCACCATTCATAGGACCAAACTGGCAACCTAACAACCTACCAACCAACCAACGAACCAAACCAAAGCCAAGGCAATCACCAACATTTGCACTTGCTAAAATAACACACAGTTACCCGCCCAGAAACCAACAATGGTTGGTCCATTGCCATGCCATGAACGGGCATTTGGAAAATTTGCCACGCACCCATTGCACTCAAATACCGCCCGCATTATCATGGCCATCATCCCGTCCCCTGTCCCCTTGCCATCTTGTTATTTGACGATTAGCAATAATAGAAGCCATGCATTATGGCTTTCATATTCAATGTCAATGTGGCTTTTGATTGTTTTAGATTTAATGGCAAAGTGGTCGTGGGGGAGGAGCGCAGAGGAATTAAACGTAACAATTTACGAAAAATACAAATGGGGGAGGGGTGAACGATTTTCGGCAAAAATATTTAGGATCAAATTGAGATATCCTTAAGTTAAGCCATTAACAATGACTATATGTGTGTGCGTGTGTGTGAGTTAGTGCACTTGTGCTTCTATGGATGATATGATAAATTAGCCTGGTGACACTTGGTTCGACCGACCGACCGACCGAACAACAATTGTCACCAAGGCAGTGAGTAGTATGACATGAGAATGGCAACACATGTTGTAGGCAAATTGTTGTTGTATTGTTTTAATAAAGCAACATTTATTTTTGCGGTAAAATTGTAGTAAAAATCTATGATTTGTGGAGGGGTGATAATTGTTGTTATTGTATTAAATCAATAGATTTCCGACAAATGCGGCAAACGAAAGACTTAAGGCACAAACTCACAGTCCACCTGCTTTGAATAGGGTCAACATGTAAGTAACTACCCAATTGCAATTTTTTTTAAATATTTTTTCAATGCCTACCAAGTAGCGTGGATTTTATAAAAATATTTTTAAATAAATTGTAAGACGTGGATTTTTTTAAAAACATTTTTAGGATTAGCCACTGATCGATTTGAAATGTTTCATGAGGTTCCAGTTATGGTCAAGGACAACGCCTATAATTTTCGGTGATCATCAGATAATAATATTGGGATGAATTGGACTGAAATAGGTTATTTTTGTCTTTTTTCGATCCGATCTATAGGACATAATTAAAAGCCGAACATCACAACACAACCCACTGTGAAGGGAATCTGGAAAAGTAGTTAGATGGGCAGTACTGAATATTAGTAATATTTGTTGACCTCTAGTCGGTCAAGAGGATGCAAATATCGCGAAATATTGCCCAAGCTTAGATCAGAACTACAGAAAGTTAGACTTTTGTGGAAGTTGTAGGGTATAATATGGTCGGCCACGTTCGACTATACTACTCCGCTCAGTGGTTTAAAAAATATTTTTCATTACCTACCATTAAGCGTAAATTTTTTAAAAAAAATTATTTCAAGGTGTGCCAATAAATGTGAATCTAAAACCAGTAAGAAAAGTAGTAAAGTCGGACCGGGCCGACTATATGATACCCTTCACCACTATGGGTATATTAAACGAATGCATCCTAAGAGAAGGGCCATTAACCACCGGTTATACAAATTTTAGCAGGTTTTGTTTCTTATGGTCATATTTTGGGTCCTACTTAAAATCGGGCGAATATATATATATATATGAGAGCTATATATAAATCTTAACCGATTTTCAAGAAATATTTTACACATCATTCTAGACTCGATCCAGTATGCTATGCCAAATTTCGTGCAAATCGAAAGATATATAGGGACTTTGGTATACCATGTACATCATATAAGGCGAAAATCTGAACCGATTTTCAAGAAATTTTACACACATAATTCTAGGCTCAATTCAGTACGCTATGCCAAATTTGATGGAAATCGAAGGATATATAGGGACTTCGGTGAACCATTTACATTAAATCAGTCGAAAATATATATGGGATCTATATCCAAATCTGAACCAATTTTCAGGAACTTTTACACACATCATACTAGACTCAATTCAGTACGCTATGCCAAATTTCGTGCAAATCGGGAAATATATAGGGACTTTGGCATACCATTTACCTAAAATCGGGCAAAACTATAAATGGGAGCTATATCTAAATCTCAGCCGATTTCTACGAAACTTAGTACACGTCATTCTAGACTTAATTCAGTACGCTATGCCGAAATTCGTGCAAATCGAATGATTTTCAGGGACTTTGGTGCATTATTTACCTAAAATCGGGAGAAACTATATATGGGAGCTATATCTTAATCTGAACCGATTTTTCCCAATTTCAATAGGGTTTGTCCTTGGGCCCAATTGGATGAGCTATTATTCTAGAGCCTTCCATAGTTTTGGTTTTTATATAATTCCAAGGACCTCCAAGAAGTGTTATTTTTTGTTTTTCAAATGTTTTCTATGCTGTGGATTTTTTAATATATTTTTTCTATTTTTTAAATATTTTTAAGGTCCAATCTACCAACTCCACATACTCTAGCTTACCAATTAATATTCCAATTTCAAATGATTCACCAAAAGCATTATCCACCAACAAAGCAGGTGAACAGACTCCCACATGCCCTTTGTAATCATCTTCATTTCGTTTTTTTTTTTTTAATTTTAAATAATCAATCCACCATTCAGTGTTATTTTTGCATTTCTATTTCTATTAGGTTCGCCTGCATCCCTCTCTTCCACTTCGGTCGAGTTTATTTAATAAAGTACTTGAACCGGCTGCAAAAATTGTGAACTGGAATAAAAACAAACGTAACCAGCTGTGATTTTCAAAAAACCAGGTCGTCTCGAAAAACATTACCAACTGGATTGTACCAGAGCCCACCAACCAAACGAAACGAAAAATATATCCTGGTTAAAAACAAGCAAACACCATAACATCCACTGATGGAAGCATCCATGCATCCATCCACCCAACCACCACCATCATCATTCGTTTGATGTTTGGGTATGAATGACGATTTGTTCGAACGACGCGTGCCATGTGACCTAAAACACATGTTTTTTGAGATTTGCACACTCATACGCAAACAGCAACAACAACTCAGCAGAAACAATCAGATAAGAATATCACAGTTTAAAGGTCCTGTTGATCCTTTTTGTGTTGTTTCGTGATGACTATTTATTGTTTTGTGTCCATTGAATTGAATGATGTTAAACATATTAATTGTATTATGAAAAAATACTTTTAAAACACTATTTGTTGTAGTTATTTGTGTGTGTGGACGGGGATGAAATGGAGAGACGGGCAGGCGTTGGAGGGCCTTTGGAGGTGTGCATTATTTATTTGTCCGTAATATAAATACTAAAAAATAAATACAAATTTTTTTGATTTGAGGACAAACCAAAGGCGTGGATTTTGAAAAAAATATATATATTTTTTTGAAGACAAATCAAAGGACTTAAAAAAAATATTTTTTTAGGACAAATCAATGGTGTGGATTTTGAAAAAAAAATATTTTTTGAGCTACCAATTTTTTTTCACCAAAATTTATTTTTAAAAACATTTTCCTTTCATTATTCATGTCAATTTCTTTTACAAGGCCCCTTCCTGGCATGGCCCTTCATTGCAACTGCCGAAACAGTTGCGAAAAACCACGACCAACCCTAAACCACAAAATATAGCTAATAATTAAGGCATTAGTCAATTATTATGACAATAGCCGTGTGGTTAGGGGAGGATTTTCCAGCAACGTTTTAATATTTGACAAACCAAAAAGAGGGTTGGAGGGGGGTAAGAAACAGATTTGTTCGGAACACGATCGTTTATATTCAATTAAAAACCTTTTAATGCCCGCACGCAAGCAAACACGCACACACACACGAACAAATACATACGCATTCAGTGAAAAGCCAAAAAGGCTTACAAGGACAATTGAAAAACGCACTCACTTGTAATTCGGATATCCTTGCTACACGGAATGAGGGGTGAGGACGGGAGGTAAACCGAGTCAAGTTGGAAAATTGTACACTTGCTGTTGAGGATGCTGCTGCACTTGTACAACCACCCTGATTTTGTAAGGAATGTTGCTTGTATGCAAACTGAATGTTGGGGTATGCAATGTTTGTTATCCTCACTGCTGCTGCTGCCGAGCTATACAGCCGCGCAAACGCTGGGAATTTTAACACTTGTTGGCACATGTTGTCAGCTTAGATTGTTTTGTTGTGTTTTGACACTGCAAGCCGTAACAAATCGTTTAGCACAAATCGCACAAATGGGTGAAACCCCTAATGTCAGTCAGCCAGCCAGCAGCCAGCAAGGATAAGGGTTTTGCAAAACCCAAACAGAATCTGATTGCGAACACGTGGTGTTGTACGCTAAACGTACTCTTCGCATATAAAAGCCAAAGGACATTTCCAATTGGAGTTCAGAATCAAGTTAGACATCAATCGAACAACATCATCCGACACTGAAGCGACAGCATACGTGAATGTGAAAATAATGCTTCCGGTATTGCCAACCTCACGCAGTATAGTACAACAACAACAGCAGCAGCAAAATCATCATTTAGTGGATAATAGCCGGGCACATAGTCAAAGTCCAACTCCCAGAAGTCCAACTAATAAACGTAACGCCAGTATGATATTCCGCATTGAACATTTATTGCCTCAGGCAGCAGCGGCAACAACAACAGCAACAGTTCCAGTTCCAGGATCGTCATCACCATCGGCGCCAACATCACCGCATTCGGAAAATAATGGCACCTCCTCAGCAGCCTGCAGCTCTCCGAAAAAATCCAAAATTATTCGAGCTGGAGTCCATGTCACCCAATTGATACCCAAGGATACAACATCGATTCTAATTGACAGTCATGCACTTTTGGCTGCCGGCACCACTGAAGTGGCCACCGAGCCACTGGCACGTGCCTATTGTTCGCTATCACCCAAGGGAGACACGCTCATCTTGAATGCATCGATAATGCGTAAAATCAAGCTCTCCGAGGATATTCACAGCTATAATGCCCTCTTTGAATTACAACATGGTCAGGTGCAGTTGCGAGTGGTACGCGATATCCAACGTGATGAGGAGATTGTTGCCTGGTTTGGCGAAGAGCTAACCCTGCTCATGGCCATACCATTCCTGACACCCTTGAATATTCAGGGTAACAATCGGTATATGTGTCATTGGTGCCATTTGACCTTTGAAACGCCAAATCCTTTGAAAATCCATTTGGCATTGGGGTGTGGCCGTCATAACATTGATGTCTTATGGATACGGCTGCACTATGCCCTTAGGGCCAAGCAATATAGCCAACAATTATTTACATTGCCATTGGTTAGCTCCTCTGCACGGAGCTCTCCAATAATGGTCACCACTACCACCACTGCCAGCGGAAATCCAATTACTCTTCAAACCACAAGTTCCAGTACGATGCGTAATGTATCACCCACCTATTCTCCACCTGCAACGCAAACATCATCACCACCCTCACCACCACCAGCACCAAGATTTTCCGCCTTCAAACCAATATCCTTGGCAGCACACACCCACCATCAACACCCAGTCACCTCACTTCCTGTTTCCCTAACCTCAGCGCCACATCTGCACACCTCCACAGCGGCGCACAGTATGTCCTTTTTACCCAGCCTATCATCGGCCAGTTTTCCACCACACATGAGTCTCCTACATCCATCGTCGAGCACAAATCCCCTCAATGCCGCCGCTCAAATTGAGGCAATTGTCAGTAATATGGGTGCCTCGAAACAGGGCCACCTTTGCATCTATTGTGGTAAAATGTATTCCCGCAAATATGGTCTAAAAATTCACATTAGGACCCATACTGGATTCAAGCCCCTAAAATGTAAATATTGTCTGAGGCCATTTGGAGATCCCAGTAATTTAAATAAACACATACGACTACATTTACAATCATCCGGCTCGGGTCACGGCAATGGGGCGGAGGTATATCAATGTACCCTGTGCCATAAGTCCTTTGGTCGGCGTCGTGATCTACAGAAACATGTTGAAAATCGTCATGGCGAGGCAGCATCTGGGGATAATAAAATGGAAAGTTCACACTCCGATTAAGGAGAGAGATCAATACACACCCATGAACATTGCCAAAAAATTACAGGAATCCATAATACCTCATCCATAGGGGCCAATTTTTTCTACAAGAACCATATGTGATATTAGACTTAAGCCTTACATATATATATATCAATCATATAATTATAAGAATATATATAATACATATACAGAAATATATTGAATCAATAAAATTGTACACTTATAAAAATAATAATTTCGGATTTTTATTAAAGTGAATCTTGAAAAATATTTAAAAAATCACACCTAATAATATTAACGGCTATATGTGGATCTTAAGAACAAAGCATATAAAAAAATTGGGCCTTATGTTTTTAATTAAAGGCGAGAGCCTATAGATAGGCTATGCATTTTATTTATAATTTCACGCCTTTTGGTATACTTTGAAAAAGGATTTTAAATACACACGCCTATAGGTATTAAACAAATTATTTAAAAAAATACATTCCTTTATGTAGATCCTGAAATTTATTTAAAAAATCACGTCTATAAATAGAACCTTAAAAATGATTAAAAACAATTACACATATTTTTTGAACATATTTTTAATCAATACTTGGATATAGACCCTGAAAAATATTATAATTTAATCAACGCCTGGATGTAGACTCTGACAAATATTTTTTATTAAATCCACGTCTGGATGTAGATCCAGAAAAATATTGAATTCATGCCTGGATGTAGACTCTGATAAATATTTGTTATAAAATCCACGTCTGGATGTAGACTTTAAAATATGGTTTATTAAAAACACGACTGGATGTAGACCCTGAAACCCCTTTTTATTAAAAACACGCCTGGAGGTAGCCCTGAAAACTATTTTTGAACCAGTAAGGAAAGCAGTAAAGTCGGACTGGGCCGATATATATACCCTTCACCACTTTGGGTGTATTCTACATGTGTATCCTAACAGACGTCGCTTTTTATATCTGAACCGATTTCAGGGAAACTTGCCAGAGACTTATTTATATTACATCTGTGGGCCTAGCTATGGATATTTCTCGAAGCTTAGCAAAATAATTCTAGACTCAATTAAGTACCCTATACCAAAATTCGTACAAATCGAAATATATGGTGCACCAATTACATAAAATTGGACGAAAATATATATAGGAGCTATATCTCAGTCTGAACCGATTTTCACGAAACCTTGCACACATCATTCTAGACTTAATTCAGTGCGCTATGCTAAATTTCGTGCAAATCGAATGATTTTCAGAGACTTTGGTGCACCAATTACCTAAAATCGGATGAAAATATATATGCAAATCGAAAGATATATAGGGACATTGGTACGCCATTTACCTTAAATCGGACGAAGATATATATGGGAGCCAAATTTAAATATGGACCGATTTACACGAAAATTATCACATATCATTCTGGACCTTATTCATTACGCTGTGACAATTTTCGTGCAAATCGAAAAATATATAGGGACTTTGGTACACCATTTACCTTAAATCGGACGAAGATATAGATGGGAGCTATATCTAAATATGGACCGATTTACCCGAAAATTAACACACATCATTCTAGACTTAATTCAGTACGCTATGACAAATTTCATGCAAATCGAACGAGATATAGGGACTTTGGTACACCATTTACCTTAAATCGGACGAAAATAAATATGGGAGCTATATCTAAATCTGAACCGATTTCAATAGGATTCGTCCCTGGGCCAAACAAATGAGCTATGCCAAGTTTCATCTAATTCGGATTATAAATGCGACTTGTACTTTGTTTACAATTTAGCATGGATAGACAGATGGATGGACGGACGGAATGCATAAATCGACTCAGAAAGATATTCTATGCATATTCTCAAAAACATATGCACAAAGACATAATACATTGCACCACAGTGTGGTGAAGTGTATAAAAAATCTACGCCCAGGAATTTATTTTACTATAAAAGAGAATATCCCCAAAAAATTTGAAATAAGAAGTCACAATGTTTTTTTAAATTTTTTCTTTATTTTTTTTTCTCATTTTCTTCTATACTTAAATCTGACACAATTTTGTTTCATTTCATTTTCGATTTTATTTTTCATTGGCTTACTGCTAAACATTACCCATTGATTTTTTTTAATTGCAAAATAGTTTTAGGCTAATTTCAAACACATGCACATACACGTGTATGTATTTGTCAGTGTATATACAATATTAATATGTTTGATTCTTTCATCTATAATTGTTTGCCAATTACCTTTGATACCTTTTGGTTTGTGTCATGTAAAGAGACTGGTCTTTTATATACTCCTTCGTTTGGGTTTATTTTTAATTGTTTATTTAACGGTAAAAAATTATGTGTTTAATGATAAATAGACACCAATATTTATTTGTTTTTTTACATATATATAAGTAATTTTTATTAACTCTAACAAATAATAAAACAACTTGGTTTTAACCACAGAGAAAATATAAAGAAAATATTTCAAGTAGTTCGGTATTTTTTCACTTATACAAAAAGTGGACATACATACAAATGTATATATGTTTATATCTATACATATGTTGATGTACAAATATTTGTTATTTAATGGACAATAATTTTTGTTTTTAAATTCTTATAATTTAAATATTTGTTTTTTATTTTCATTGAAGCACACTTGGGTTTTAATTCGTAAAAATTATAACTTAGTTGTTGTTGGTTTATTTAAATATATTTGTTTTTGTTTTTTTTTTTTTAAGATAGAGAAGTTACAAATATATAGTTATAATTGTATATATGTATAGTGTCAATGGATTTAGGGGCGGAACTCTTTATTTAATTCTTTTTGAATTTTTAAGTTTTACTCATTTAATTTTTAACAATATTTTTTGTTTTTTTGGTATTGAATATTATATTTTTTTTAGATTATTTTATATAATATATATTTTTATATCTACCACAGTGAATATATATAAATATTTTTTTATTTCATGTTGTTGTCTAGTACAATCGTTGTTGTTCCCAATAAGGTAAATTTTCTCAATTTTTTGGTTTTCCAGTTATTTTTTTGACTGCCTTCCTTACTTTATTTTTATTTATTTTTTTTTCATTTTAGAACTTCTGTGTGTTTGTATGTATGTGTATTTGAACATATTTGTTAACACATTTCTTTTTTTAATCATTTACTAATACTTTTTTCTAATTAAATACTAATTGCGCCATTAAAAATTACAACCTGTACGTTAACAAAATTAAAAATTAAATAATTTTGAGATTGAAGCAAAATAAGAAATTTATATACCATACTACACCAGTAGCATATATAAAAATTAAATGAATCCCAAGAATGAATTTTTTATATATAGGAAAACATTTACAGATCCACTAGACTGAGTATGCCGACTCAGAAAACAGCTGACATCCTTCAGTTATTAAAAACTATATATTTTTTTAAAATTCACGCCCATAATTAGATCATAAAAAGTATATTTATTTAAATAAAAATTAAAAATATAAAAATAAACTATAATATAATAAATAAAAATAAAAAATATAATAAATCAAAAATATTAAAAAAAAACAGGCCTAATAGTTGACTTTAAAAATAATTTTTAAAGAATCCACACCTAAAGGTGGACCAAGCCTAAATGTAAAATTTAAAAATAATTTTTAAAAAATCGAAGCCTAAATGTGGACCATACAAATATTTTTTTTAATAAACGCCTTTAATTAGGCTATGAAAAATAATTTAAAAAATCTTCCACACCTATAGGTAGACTATGAGGTAGGCTATGAAAATAATTTAAAAAATCCACACCTAAAAGTGGACCTTACAAATAATTTTTAATTAAATCCACGGCTAAAGGTGGAGCTTAAAAATAACTTTTGGAAAATCCAAGCCTAAAGAAAGACCTTAAAAATGGAACCTGAAAAATATATGTTTTTTTTTTTTAAATTCTGTAGTGTTGGCGGTTTTTTTCAAATATTTATATTTTCTTGTAAAAAAAATCCCCAGTCTGTAGAGCATCTCAACAATCCCCAAAATAAAAAAAATAAATTAAAAAAATTGTTTTTTTTTTAATTTTAATGTGAAATATGTATTTGTGTTTCGTTTCAATTTTTTATTTGTTTATTTTCAATGCTTAACTTACGTATATACGAATTATGTACTATGATCCATTATATTTTATGTATGTATTGATGTTTCTGAAACTATGTAGCTATGTTTCAATATTTAATGAATACCTTATTCAATACTAAGTTCATTTAAGGTTTTAATTATTTTAATAATTTTCTTTTTTTTTACTTTAAAGCTTTCCATAATGAAATGTGTATGATGTATGTATGTTTGGATGTCTCTGTTTAGAACTAATATGTCTGTTAATATGTGTTTTTTTGTATAATTGTATATACAGAATACAAAAAAAAATCATCTATGACTTCTTATTCGAATACAAGACACATTTTATATTACTTACATTTTTATTTTCTTCAATATAATTTGTTTATATATATATTGTTTCAAGTTTTACTAAGACATAATGTTGTGAGAAGAGAAGAAGGAGGAAGACGTAATATATATATGATATTAATAATATTATATACTATTTGCAGGATATTTTTTATTTAGTTTTTTTTCTATAGACACAAATTAACAAGACCTTAGGACTAGGTCGTTTTTCCTTACCTTTTTTTTCCATGGAAAAAAACACCAACATGAGGTTCTGTAAATTTTTTCTATGGAAAAAATCCAAAATTAGAAGAATTTTAAACCAGAAATATTATTTCATATTATATTATTATTTCAATTTGTCTTTATTACAATAGTCCTGCATTGTTGATAACTTTACATTCACGATTTTTCGAAGTATTTATGGAGGGGAATGTGTAGAAACCATTTTTTTGGTGTATGTATGTATGTCATTGTGTTACTATCTTTTTAAATATTCCAATATTTATTAATATGTGTTTACAAATAAAATATATGTATATATATATACATATATACTTTTGTCTGTAATTTGTGTCCTTCCAAAAAACA